AGATAAGATGGGGCCTGATTATTTAAGACCTTGTATGTGAGGAGCAGGATTTTGAATTCTGGACTTAACAGGAAGCCAATGAAGGGAAGCCAAAACAGGAGAAATCTGCTCTCTCTTTCCAGTTCTAATCAAACAAGGTCTAAAGTAATATTTTTTTAGTTGAACCCTAATCCTCAGTTCTGTTCAGGTCAAATGTTTATATAGTCAAATCACAACAACAGTCACCTTTATATCATAAAACCAACAATCAGCCCATTTGCAGTGCCATATAACTGTCATACTACCAATGTTATACTTTGAAGGGTTTTCATAGGGTTTAATATTTATTGTTATTTGGAATTCATTTTAATTTTGGTAAACATATTTTCATTTAAACAGAAGTGTCAACTGTGCTACAGAAGAAAATGAACTGACAGACAATCTGTAAGGGTTTGTGCATGAGACAAACTGAGGTAGCTTCATGTTCCACACATATTTCTATCAATGTACTGTGTGTGTTGATGGTGATGAGCAAACTAAGGCTACAGCTGATTTTTGAACTGAAAACTAAAATAAATTGCTTGGATGTCTAAGAAATACAAGGCTGCATTTGCAACCCTGTTTCCAAAACAACAGAGAAACCTTGGTACTTAAGAAAGCATCAATGAAAAGTCTGCAAATGGGGAACCATATCTACAACAATGAATGTAGCTGAAAGCTGTTCTGGAGCGACATTTACTAAAATTACGTCACCATCCAAATACCTGTGGACGAACTGTCTTCAGAGATGTGCAAGTTATGCATGGCATGCGTATTAACGCATACCACCACATCTGCTGGCTTTTGAACTGCGCACCAGGATGGTGCAGTGGTTGAGAACCATTTCTACATTTGTCACCTCACATTTTGTTAGTTTGACACATGCTGTGCTATTTTTAATTAAATATACATGTTTAGACTTTGTCTTTATCCGCTGACAGCCCAGTTACTGATTTATTTTATTCACTTTCTTCATTAAAAAAGACGAGCAGTAATTTCACTTTTTTTTTATTTGAAGGGATCATGAAAGTTCTTTCCACAGCCTGCTCTTGGTTTCCTGAACAGGCAGTATGTACAGCCTTGTACAGTATATGCCTTTCTCCAACAGTATTGTGCCATCATGAAACTTGTGTCTTTATCCCAAGAAAAAAACAAAATGACAAAAGAAAAACGCTTTACATCTACATCACATCACCGAGTTTGTTCCCAGATAATAGGCCTGGAAAAGTCCCTTCTTTAAATGGAAAATCATCAGGTTTAGTATATTTTAAAGCGTTTAGTCTTTTTAGTTGTCACTAATGTTGATTCAGCTACTGTAGTATTACTTCAGGACATCTGTCTTATGTTATGCAGCTTCTGCTGAACCCACAAAAGCTTTATGTATACAACATTTTCACTAAAGCACAAGTGTATTCCTCCACCAAACACAAGTCCATGGAAATCTCAAAGTAACCGAAAAATAATGAAGAGACATTAATGCCACGATAGAGATTGGTCTCCTGAAAATATCTGATGGAAACTCTGCGCACACACACACACACACACACATAAAAGTATCTGTTGTCAAACTTCAGCCGTAACACTGTTTGCATGTTTTTCGGTCCAACTGCTCAGTCTGAATAGATTTTTGCAGCCAGATTTTTATGCCAGATTTGTGGATTTATATCTACTTTGTGGATTTTTGTTCATTACAGTACAGTTTAAAATTGTGCAGTGTATGACTGTTTAAATGAAGATATCCGGTCGTTAAGTGATGACGTGACGAATCCTACTTCCGGGCCTAAAGTAGTCTGTGTTTAATATGGCTTTTGTGTTGTTAACATGTTTAATGTTATGTATTTTCTTATATTTGATCTCAAAAAGCTCCTAAAACAGTCAGTGATCACTGCTGACCTCCCTCGGCTTTTATTACCGCTAATCATTTATTTAAGCTCAGTTTTTAAAACCTTAGGATGTAACTACAGCCCAGCCCATGCAGCAGTATATGAATGACTAACCTCGTATTGTGGATGGATTATCTCAGTTGTTCTCCTGGCTGAAGTTTGGTCCTTTTACAGCATCCTGCCATGCGATTACATTTGTTCCTGACCACCGAGAACACTCATGTTAACTTTTATCCAGTGGAACAAAAAAGTTAGCTTGTTTATATTATGCTAACATAGCTGTGTCGCTAGCAGTCACGTAGCACATCATTATATACCAGCTAGCCCAACTTCAGTAACCCTACAAACGTCACTGCTGTTTAGTTTTCTGTCTTCATTTATGCTGGAAGTGATAACAGAGCTGTACGTTTGAATTTGTTTCTAAAACCCCGCAGTCAGGACATGCTATATTGTATTTAGATAGAAGCTAGCGAGCTAACTCCCTGCTAACTTCTAACTGCGTTAAATGTCATAACTTCCGTTTTCATGGATGCCTGGATGTTAAACTCAATTGTTACACCTGGTAGAGCAGAACGCCGATCATTTTATTAAAGATGAAAGACTTTAGACAGTTTTTCAACTCTCAGTAATGCCATAGTGATCGTTTGATATATGGACCTGCAGCGGAGTTTAGGTCCAGACACGGCTAGTGACGTCAGACTGAACAACCGGATACTTAGGAAGTCTCCAATGCATTACTTTATAATTATAATAATAACAACTAACAACAAAAGTTCAAAGACTATAGTGAAACTCGAGAAATACAGCAAAAGGTTTTGCAAAAAGATTTTCTAAAACGTGCAAAACCACTGCTATAGTCCTTTAAAAGTATGTCTCTGGTAAAACACAGAGGCTTTGGTGTAAGCACAAAAATATCTCTGTATCATTCAAGATTGCTTCTTTGAATTTTTATTTTTTTTACAGAAAACATTTTTGACTTGTCACCACGAAGAAAACACAATTATTAAAAAACCCTAACATACAGTATGTAATTGAAACTTCTATCTAATAGAAACCACAAAAAATGGTGGGAATATGCCAGCACTTACCAGCATAGTATATTCTGCATACACATCATCCTGGTTCTCTATCATATCGAGACTATCTCTCAACTCCGTTACATGTTCCATATGTACGGAGTGGAGAGATAGTCTTTCACTCAGAGAACCAAGGTTACAACGTAACCGTACGTTCTCTAAGTGGTCTGTATGTAATGAGTCTTTTTTCACTTATATCTTTGTTTAAACAAGATTATGACGGCCACTGTGCTGTGGTTTCAAATAACTGCAATGACCGGTCAGAATATCCTGATTATCATTGACTCGCTTTGTGTTTTTCTCTTTCCATGCTTTAAAACAAAGACTTTGGACAAAAGACCACCTAGAATTCCTTTTATCTGGACACTATCTTAGCACAGGAAAAGCAGGGAGAGAGCTAAAATTCTTGACTAACAGACAACTAGTCTGTGAGGTGATATTGTCTGTTGCTGCCCAGCGTTTCTTGAAGTAAAGTTATTTGGGTTTTGAGGGTAAGCAGAATGGTGCAAATGGGATGGCACAGCACCTCCTTATGTCTTCAGTCTCTGGTTCTCTCTTTCAGGGATGTTCCAAGGTTTGGAATACACACTACGCCAACCGGGCCAGGACAATTTAACTGGTAACATCAAACACAGACTTACACAGTATTGTTCATATTTTTTTATAGTGCACTGCACAACATCGTAATGCACTATATCAACCTTTGAATTTTGTAAGACCCCCTGACTCCCCTGAAACTTGCTACCAGGTTGGAACAAACCTTTGGGAAAAACAGGCACCATCTTGATCCAGGTCATCCATGACAAGCTACTGGAAGTACAGCATAAACATTTTGTACAATAACAATACCTCAAACAATAAATGTTTGAGGTATTTTTATAAATGTAATTTCCACATAACAACACTATGTGTGTATGTTTAATACTTAGATTGGACTTTGAAAAATGTTTTGGCCCCAAATGCCATCTGTTGGAGCTTGTACATGTTTACAGTTTCATCATTTAACACCACCAACAGTCATTTTTGGATAACCGCCTGTCACAGCATTGCATTTCTGATTGAGTAAATCCTACATTCTGTTATTTACACTGTCTTTGTTACCCACATTAAAAGTTACGTATGGAAAATGTTTGTATTCCATCGCTTATTTTCCAGAGCATGGTATGCAGTATGATCAGGATCAAGCTTTTTCCCGTCTAGGTTTCTCATTTGCCAGTGGACACTTCCAGCACTATGCTAACCTGTGTTGTGTGGTTTGGTTGGTAAATGTGTTGAGTCAAAATGTAAAAAGTGTTTTTAAAAAGGGCAATCTTTCCTCGAAAGGTGACGTGTGTCACCTGCATATCTACAGCAAAGATTCTATTCAGACAGACTAACCACACGTTCCTTTGCTTGTTTTGTGTAAACTACACACACACACACACACACACACACATGACTTCAGTAGCCTCTACTTCATCTCTAAAAGAAAAATGCTGCATGTTGCATGAGTACTGTACATCCTGGTTGGAATGGCTGAGTTGGTGGCTTGTCTGTGTTTCGATCCTCAACTCATTTCCATTTCCGGTATCATCCTCTCTCCTCTCTTCGGTTCATTGGTGTCTGGCACATGCTTTCACCCTCCACATACAAGCAAAGATCAGAATAATTCTGCAGCTGTGTTTCTGAGGCTGGACTACAAATAGTTATGTTGAGCTGCCAGGAAGATTTTTTTTCTTGGCATTGAGTAAGTTTGAATGCTTCCTTTTCAGAACGAGACCATTAGCTAGTATTTGACCTTTGCCCCCTTTTCTTGCTTCCTATTATAACATTCAGCCTTATCATTTAGTATGTTTTGCCCAAACAAAACACCATCACTGCTCATAGATGCTACTTTGACCACTGTCTTCTCATAGGTCACTTTCTGGCCATCTTCCAGTGTTGATCACAGATGTCCAATAACACTGAAAGGTCTAGCTCAAAGAAGAACCTTCTGGATTATGCAGGCACCCCTAAGTTGTTTGTAGAGGAATCTAGAGGATGTTCGCAATGACCCTTTTTGGCACTAAGAGAAAGAGAGTAATGACTGAGAGTACCCACCTGCTTGTGGCTGATATGGTAGGACACCAACACATTTGGACAAGTTTGAGTTTGTAATTCAGGTCTCCTTTGTTTTATGGGAGTATCTGGTGACTTAAAAGCTGTCTGTATGGACAATGGACAATTCCACTTTTTATTATTTTACAGCTTTAACTTAACACCCCTTAACACACTCGCTTCTTGTTGTTCTAAGCAGAGTGTCATTTAGTATTTAGTCCATAGAAGACAGCATTTACCAGATAAGTGTTAGTAAAAATAATAGCAACAATCTGACCAGCAGCAATCCCACCAGTGACACTAACTGAACTTGTACTGAGTTGGTCATCCAGCCATTACCAACAGTCCCGACTGCTTCTCGACACTTCTGATACCCGGAAATAGAAAAAGAACGACAGCAATGGGAGATGAAGATATTGAAACTGATGCCAGTAACAAATTCTTATTGCCACAGTTCCTGTTGGTGTTTATGTGATCACAGGATACCACTCTGTTGCTGTGCCCCTGCAGGGTTTCCGAAAGCCGAGCGGACTATAGAGTGGTCTCATATTCCAACCGCTCCTGTACCAGAGCATCATCTTTGTACTGCAGCCGTGGAGGAGTCAATGAGCAATCTATGGCCAAAATTGCTTTGCGAATGCTGCGGTCCAGAACATGACGCTCCCAGGCTGGATAGCGGTTCCTACAAAGGTCGATCTTGATGACGTTCTCCTCTAGGCGTGGAGCACGAGAAGATGGCGTTGATGGCACTGTGGATCGGACCTGAAACACTGGCATGCAGCCATCTCGCTCAGAATACTTGTCGTGTCGTTCCAGAGTTGTGGTAGCACCTCGGTTCGAACGCAGTGAATTGGTGGCACCTTCTGATGGCAGAGTGGAGAACTGAGCAGTAGGGTCCAGGTCAAGGCCTTGGCCACTTGGTGAGTGTCCAAAGCGTGGCCCGTTCGGGTGAAAAAAGGCATAGTACATGAGCATGAAAACAATGCCGGTGAGGAAACTGCTGAAAATGACGCAGAGTGCTGGCACTGCAAAGGCGTCAGTATTTTGAGGAAATCGGTAGAGATACCACAACGCACTGAGAGCAGTGTTCTCCATCAAGATTACCAGGTAATAGATAAAAAGCCGACACCTGCACAGAGACATGAGACATAATAACAACAAATAAATGCAAGTATTTGCAAGCAACTATCACTAAAATAAGCTGAAGGTCTCACAGATTGTTTCATGTAAGTCAGAGTTGTCAGTACTAAATGCTAAAGTTGAAACTAGCTCAAGAAACAGGAATGGCTGAATTTCTTTTGCATGGTAGTTTCAACTATTGCACTTACTGCAACCAAGCGCTTATAAATTTAAAAATGACAGAAGAGTTAAAGCATTGTTTAAAAATTAAACCACATCACTGATGGAGAACGTCTTCACCTTGTCCGTCCTTCCTTGACGTTGAACCAGGAAAAGATGTAGATTATGCCCACCACCATGTCAAACACAATCTCTTCCCACTTGCTGATGCAGAAGTCTGTCTCACAGTGGACAATCCAAAAGGTCATGATGCACCAGTGCAGGACGATGAAGATGCCAAAGTAGAGTTGAAATACAGACGCAAACAGAGCAAAGGTGATAACTCGGGCTGCTATGGTGAAGAAGTGCCAACAGAACTGGATAATCACTGCCAGATAGCTGATGGGCTTCTTGTCATCCCGAGACTCTCGCAGGGCCTTCTGATAGGAGGCCAGGGCCCAGGCCATAGAGACGAGGGAGGCTGCAGCTGTCATTCCTAAAGAGACAGAGAGAAAACAACCGTTTTCACAACCACATAACGGATGGATTACAGAAGCACCACATGATGGATCTGTCTGGCACAGGCCCCCGCTGGAACGAGACAATTCTACTACAATGGCTAAAGCAACGCACAAGTCACCAGAGCTCTTTGTGTTACTCGTGCACGAGGGAGAGAACTGTGACGGGCGCCGTTCCTTCCGCTCGAACCCCAGTCGCTCTCGTCAGCTCCCTCGTAGCACTGCTCTTTATAGAGATGGAAAATGTGACGTCATTTCTGGGGTAAAACCGCAAAGGATTGTAGGTACGAGTGGCAAGTGGTACTAGTGCACGCAGGCTTTCATATGAAAACAGTCACACAGTGATAAAAAGAAACAAAGAATGGCAAGAAGCTGTTGTATTATTAACTGCAATAGTCACATGACAGCCAGGGGAAGCCGACGGGTAAAGAGATCGTTTTTTATCGGATTCCATCGTGGAAGAGAAATTGTTCAAGTCATGTTTCCGAAGTACCAAAGAGGCGACGGATGGCCTGCAGCCATTCGAAGACCAAATATAACGTCCCAGAACACTGCAGCTCACAGGTTAGTCTGCTCCAAGCATATACACATTTTTTGTTGATGTAGGTTACAAATAAATCTTATATTGATTTGAATTGAATTCGTTGCTTTGCTGCTTTGTTCACTGTGGTTTTGCGGACTAATGTTTGTTGTGTTTTGTAGGAAAACCAGCCTACAAAATGCTGGGATGTGATCCAGACTGGGCCCCTCCATCAGCCTGGGTCAGACCGAGTTTAAAGCTGCTAACACAGCCAGATTTGATCGGTGAAGAGAGAGCGCGAGATCAAAACAGCCACGAAACGTCTGCATACATGTGCCCAAGTGTTGTATTGAAGCAATCAAGTGATGAATAACTGTTTCAGTATGTTGTGTTGCATTGTTGATTTGTTTTTCACCGAAGCAGCTAATAAAGCTGATGGATTTTTACAACGTTGCCTCTTTCCTGTAAGATTCTGTAACAGAACGAAACAATAATGCCAGTTATAAATAAAGACAACAAATTGAATGAATTACGAAACACTCGTTTTATTTCTACTAGATCTGAAAATGTTGTGTAACACTACAACCTGAAAGGACAAATACATGGTGTTGGTCTGTAACAGCAGCTGTGAGATGGAATCATCCAAATCACCAAAGTAAACTGGCCCTGGGCTTGTTGCAGGATCTGAAGTTACTAAACATGTTGAGTGTGTGCGCTCACACTTAGGACCACATAATAATAAATATGTGCGTGATGAAAGTTGTGCAGCACGCTAACGTGCTTACTCCACTCTGTGCTCGTGTGGGTCTGACCCTTCCACTCCTTTCAGTTTTTCCTCCTACTTTTCTGTCTTCGTACGGAGCTGCCGTGTTTCTGTCGTTTTGTACATAAAATGCAAGTAGGGATTAAAACCACAGAATTAATGATTAGCGGTGCTGGAAATACTAGCGCTTGATGCAGTGTTTTGACTTTGCTGCCACTCGTACCCACAATGCAATGCACGAAAGTCATCTGTGGTCTGTCGATCTCTATTGTAGTTATATGAATATGCATAGGTTCATTAACATATGACGTCTTACATAGGCATACATGAGAACAAAGAGTACCTTGTCTGTGTGTCGTGTAGGTATGTGTGTGTGTGCGTGTCAAGATGTGATCCTGTGAATGACTCTCCAAAGCTGGTCCCAGGAGTCCAGCGGTCCACCTAAACAAAAGGCACTTATACTTAAGCAGATACATAGCAGGTGTCCTCCTATACCATAAATCAGTAAGAGAAGGTACGACCTCAAGATGTATGTGTATGCCAGAGCACTCTGGGAGGCTGTGAAGTAGTCAGACTCGAACGTCGCAGACTACGCAGACATTTCAGATTTCCAGAGGTGAGCAATTTATTTACAGTGAACCTAATGTAATGTGTAACTTAACATCCTCTCCTCTCCTCTCCTCTCCTCTCCTCTCCTCTCCTCTCCT